TCAACGTGGTCGTCATCATCATGTATGTTCCACGTCACATCAACGTTCAATGTGGTTGTTATTCATTTTGTTATGTGTAATAATATTCCATCAAGTGCAAATTAATCAGTTAGTAAACATGTGGTTTTCCGTACGTTAAAGTACATGTATTAATATGTGTATAATCATATGGGTTATCACTTCATGTTCTTTTGTTAGATTCACTCCTCAGCTTTTGCTGAGCGTGTAGTTGTTTTTGCTACACGCAGGTAGACATGACGGTACAGGTGCTAACCCTGGAGGACAGTGATGATGGGAAGATGGGCGGCGCACGGACGAGTTTAGTAATTAAATACATTTAATAAACTAACCATTTGGGCAAGAACCCACCATCTGTCGTTTTACTTATTTTGGACTTATTTATTTACTTCCGCTTTTACTCTGCATTTATATCACACACGTTTTGGGGTTAACTCCCTAGCATTTAATTCACCAATTAAGCCCAACCGTTTTTCATAATAATTAGACATTAATGTTCTTTTCGCTACGGATGGTTCTCGGACCGCCCATGTAACCCTACCGGTCCGTTGGGTCGCGGGTGAACCGGGTCCGCGGGAGGCGGGTGTTACAGACCCAATCTTCTCCGCCATAGGTGGAGATGTCGTCGCCTTGGTAGGGGAGGCCGGCGATGCGCCCAAGTCGTTCCACAATGAGTTCGATCGGCGTGGACTTGACGAGGCTGTAGATGACGTCGTCCTCACGCTGGAGATTTGAGTAGAAGGCCTGAATCAGTGCCGGGTTGATCTCCTTCCGGGCCTTGGAGACAAACGGCCATAGCCCGATTTGGTGGAGCTGCACATCAAGGAAGTCGTAGCCGAGCATCTCCGGTAGGCGCTCCGGGACAATCCGCAGAAGAGCCACAACCCGCTTGGAGAAGAAGGTGAGAAAGCGGGTGCGCTCCTCCTAAGAATTGAACCAGAGGTACGACCCGTCGCCGTAGTAGAGGCATTCCTCGGAGGTCGTTGCAGGCGGCTAGGATTTGAACTTTGATTTTCCGGAGGTAGCAGCCCTGCTCTTGTCTTTGCCCATTTGGATGAAGAACACACACAAGAAAGAAGTGGAGAAGATGAAATATGCAAGGAGATTGAAGAGAATTGTGTTTGTGTGTGTAAAAGTGAAGAGATGGAGTCCAAATATATAGGGAGATGGGTTCCCAACGTTCAAAATTTTGAAAATATGGCTGTTGGAGCATTTAATTCAGTGCCCAACGGATATTTTTTTTGAAAAATGCAAGTTGAACAGCGATGTAGGGTGGGCTACATCGCTGCTGGTACATCGCTGTTGTGCGTTTAGTTTTAAAAACCAGGTGTCAAATGGACAGCGATGTTGGGTTCCCTACAGCGATGTTCCAAAACTTTCTGGAAATGTGTAAGGGTTTGAACCCATTAGAACAGCGCTGTTGGGTTTACCTACATCGCTGTTTTACGATAAGAAAAAAATTTGTAAAAATGGACAGCAATGTTGCTATAATATACATCGCTGTTGAAGAACCTTCAGGTTTTGATTGAAAAAACGGTGTTTAAAGCAATAGCGATGTTGGGACATGCTACAGCGATGTTTAAAGAGTTTCTGGAAAGCATAAAGTAAGAGGACTCCCTGTGACAGCGATGTTTAGGTATTATACATCGCTATTTGCCCAAGTTGGTTGACGGTGTTTCCTTCTTACAGCGTTGTTTGCATGGTTCCCCTTGATTTTATGAACGGGGTACGTGCAAAAGAGAAAAAGTTCTCCGACGCTCAAGTTAGTAAACGTTTAACAAGTGAAAATGCATAACTTAGATCATCGTGGAGTCAAGGATTCCGAGTTCACTTCGAATGCGGAAGAACGAATCTTTCTCTAAAGGTTTTGTGAAAATGTCGGCTAATTAATTGTGTGTTTCAACGAACTCAATTTCGACGTCACCTTTGAGAACATGATCTCTAATGAAATGGTGCCTAATGTCAATGTGTTTCGTCCTTGAGTGAAGAACGGGGTTCTTCGTCAAGATTATGGCGCTAGTATTATCACAACGAAGAGATACGTGATTGATACTAAGGCCATTGTCCACGAGTTGTTGCTTCATCCATAGAATTTGAGCACAACAGCTACCGGCGGCTACGTATTCCGCTTCGGTTGTGGATAACACAACACTGACTTGTTTCTTACTAAACCATGAGACTAGAGAACTACCAAGTAAGTGGCAAGTCCCACTTGTACTTTTACGGTCCAATTTGCAACTGGAAAAGTCCGAGTCGGAATTACCAACGAGATGATAAGAAGAGCCTTTTGGATACCACAGTCCAACGTTAACCGTGCCAACAAGGTACTTCATGATCCGTTTCACCACCGTTAAGTGCGATTCCTTCGGACACGATTGATACCTTGCGCAAAGGCATACGCTAAACATGATATCCGGCCTACTAGCGGTAAGATAAAGAAGGGATCCGATCATACCTCGATACTTTTTGACCTCTACTTCCTTACCTTTCTCTTCTTTTTCAAGATGGTCGGATGTGCTCATTGGGGTCGCCATGGCTTTGGCTTTATCCATTTCGAACCATTTTAGGAGTTCTTTGCAGTACTTAATTTGGCAAATGAATGTTCCATCTCTCATTTGCTTCACTTGAAGTCCCAAAAAGAACGTGAGCTCGCCCATAATTGACATTTCAAACTCGCTAGTCATTAACTTAGAGAATTCCTTGCATAAAGACTCGTTAGTAGCACCAAATATAATATCGTCTACATAAACTTGAACCAAAAGGATGTTGTTGTTTTTACTCTTGATAAAAAGTGTAGTGTCAACCATTCCCCTTTGGAAACCATTATCCAAAAGAAATTTAATCAAACGTTCGTACCAAGCTAGGGGTGCTTGTTTAAGACCGTAGAGCGCTTTCTTGAGTTTGAAGACATGGTCGGGATACTCAAAGTCTTCAAACCCCGGGGGCTGGTCAACGTACACTTCCTCTTGAATAAAACCATTGAGGAAGGCACTCTTAACATCCATTTCATAAAGTTTAAAATCCATAGACGAAGCAAAAGCAAGAAGTAAGCGTATAGCTTCTAAACGTGCTACGGGTGCATAGGTTTCTTCAAAATCAATGCCTTCTTCTTGATTGTAGCCTTTAGCTATGAGCCTAGCTTTGTTTCTAGTGATTATTCCATTTTCATCAAGTTTGTTACGGAACACCCATTTCGTACCAATAATCGTACGATCATCGGGCCTTGGCACCAATTCCCAAACGTCATTCCGTTTGAATTGGTTTAGCTCCTCTTGCATAGCCAAGGTCCAATGTTCATCGTTTATTGCTTCAGAAATGGTTGTAGGTTCAATTTGAGAAACAAAAGCCATGTGTCCTACGGTGTCCCTAAGTGAGTTACAAGTACTTACCCCGTGGTTGATGCTGCCGATTACCTAATCAAGTGGATGGTTCTTGTTCATTCTCCAAGCGACGGGAAACTCGGTTTCTTCTTGTTCCTAGGCTTCCTCGTGCTCTTCTTCGTTCTCTTGATCTTCTTCATTTTTGACAGCCACTTGAGGTGTTTCCTCAGTTCGCGGCTGTGGGTTGGTGTATATTGGCATGTCTTCTTCATCATCTTCGACGTGCATTCTTTCGAGCGAATCTGCAAGATCATCACAAATAGCCTTTCTCGCCAAGCGAGTATTATCTTCGGAAAGCACAACATGAGGGGACTCCTCAATAGTCAAAGTACGTTTATTAAAGGCTCTATAGGCCTTGCTACGTAAAGAATAACCAAGAAAAATCCCTTCTTCCGACTTGGCATCAAATTTTCCCAAGTTATCTTTGCCGTTATTATGAACAAAACATTTGCAACCAAAGACTCGAAGATGGGAAAGGTTTGGCTTTCTCCCTTTATATAATTCATAAGGCGTTTTCATGAGTATCGGTCGAATGATGGCTCGGTTTAACACGTAGCTCGCGGTACTCACGGCATCCGCCCAAAAATACTTAGGGATTTTTGCCTCATTGATCATAGTTCTAGCCATCTCTTCGAGACATCTATTTTTATGTTCAACCACTCCATTTTGTTGTGGTGTACGTGGGGCTGAGAAATTATGATCAATGTCAAGTTCGTCACACAAATCCAAAAATAGATTTCGTTCGAACTCTCCCCCATGATCGCTTCTTACGACTACTATGGTTGTTTCTTTTTCATTTTGAACTTTCTTTAGAAAATTTTTGAAAACATGAAATGCCTCACTTTTATGAGTAAGAAACAAGGTCCATGTGAACCTAGAGTAGTCATCGACAATCACAAATGCAAAGTAATTACCACCAAAATTTTTCATTCTAGAAGGACCAAAGAGATCCATGTGCAAAAGTTGAAGCGGTCTAGACGTTGAAACAACGTTTTTGGACTTAAACGAAGCCCAAACTTGCTTCCCCTTTTGACATGCATCACATATGGTATCTTTTTCAAACTTAAGTTTTGGAATGCCAATTACTAGGTCTTGTGAAACCAATTTGTTCAAAAGGTTCATGTTCATATGAGCAACCCTTCGGTGCCATAACCAAGTGTCTTTCTCTTTACTCATGAGGCACTTAGCAAAGCCGGAAGGTGATTTGTCTAAGTTAACCATGTAAATGTTATCGATTCTATCACCATGTAGAATAACCTTATTATCACTAAGGTGTTCTACCGTGCATGATTTTGAATCGAAGGTCACCCGATTTCCCTTGTCACATAATTAACTTATGCTCAAGAGATTGTGTTTAAGACCTTTAACTAGCAACACATTATCTATAGAGGAGTCATTGGATTTACCTACCGAACCAATGCCGATGATTTTTCCTTTGCTATTGTCTCCAAAAATCACGTTCCCTCGTTTAGCGGGTTTTATTTAAAGGAACTTGGATGCATCCCCGGTCATGTGCTTGGAGTATTCGCTATCAAGGTACCAAAGTACACTTGACGCCTTCAAGCACACATACAAAAATGATTTAATAAGATTTAGGTTGTAACACCCTAATCCGTCCAGGTCTGCAGCCCCTTTCGGACTAAAGTATTAACTTGGTAATCGTAAAAATTTAAAACATTTTAACATCTTTATTTATCATAAAATAATATTCCATACATAACAGTAATAAATTACGGAGTTATTAACCATAATGCGGAAGCAATTTAAATCATGTCTCATAACAATTTAATTTAATCATTTTAAATCATAAATCCACCACGATCGCCTCGCCCCTTCTGCTGCCAGGAACATGTCAATTACTCGTTCTGCCTACCTGCGTGTAGCAAATAAAACACACTACACGCTCAGCGGTGAAGCTGAGTAAGCATATCTAAAGCGTCGAACATCCACATAAATTGAATCCAAATTCATAATCAAATCATTTGATATCATGCACAGAGTATTCAGTTCAAATATACAATAATCAATATTCAACATTCGTCATTCAATATTCATATTCAACATTCAACATCCTCATTCAATAATATCCTTAAACTATTCTTAGTCTAAGGCCAATTTATTTGATGTTTACCAACTCTTAAACTAGTTCTAGTTTAAGGTACTTCTATCCAACTCTTAA